AGGGCAGCTCTGGCTCCTGGGAGATACTCGTTGGGGCCGGGGCACACCACCCCTCCTGGCCTGTCTGGGAGAGGCCTCGGGCATCTGCGCACGCTCACCCCACACAGGCAGAGAAAGGTGGAGGCAATCACAGCGTTGTGACTCCTGCTGGGCTGCACGCCGGTTGCAAAGCCAGGGCCCCTCACCCTGGCTTCTGAGGCGGGGCAGCTCTGGCTCCTGGGAGATACTCGTTGGGGCCGGGGCACACCACCCCTCCTGGCCTGTCTGGGAGAGGCCTCGGGCATCTGCGCACGCTCACCCCACACAGGCAGAGAAAGGTGGAGGCAATCACAGCGTTGTGACTCCTGCTGGGCTGCACGCCGGTTGCAAAGCCAGGGCCCCTCACCCTGGCTTCTGAGGCGCACAAACAAAGCTGGTTTGGGGCTGCAAAAGCTAGTGGTGCCGTGCTGGCTGCACACCATGTACCAAGTGCTCTTTACCACCCGAGACATGGCTGTAGGCTGCAAATTTTTTAAAAAAAAACAAAACAACTTTCTATAAAATATTTCCTTCTGTCCTGTGGTTCCAGCGTACCGACACTGATGATAAGCCTGGAGTGAGTCATGCATACATGTAAGTGGAAAAAAAATCCACACAGCTCAGCAAGAAGCAATGAGACCAAGTCCCTAAGTCACACATACTTTCACCTTCCTTTCTGTTCTCCATTTCTCAAAGTTTCTACTGCTTTAGTCTCTGACTTTGGAAAAATTTCTTTTGCAACTGAAAAAAAATAACAAACCAAACTTATTAAGCTACCTCTAAGCTCCTCTTTTCTTCTCGCAAAAATTTAATTAATTCTAGGTCATTCCAATAGGAAACCTGTGGTATCATTTCCCTGCTGGCACTAAAAGCATTTAAGAGGACTTGCTGCCTGACTTCTGTCTGCCAAGACATTCTCACATCCACTTCTCTTCAGACACAGCTGAAAAACTCCTCCCAGCAAACAACCTGCCTCTCCTCTGCTGACGCTCATCCTACCAGGCAGACTCAGCTCTGCACAGGTGCCCAGTTTGCTGCCGCAGCACACGAAGCAGAGACATGCGCATAGCCGGGTACTGGGGCTCGCTGCCCCACAGCTCCTCAAGCTGCAGGCCCTGGGCCCTCGTTCCGTTCACTCATCAGCTCACATGGTAACAGACCATGACCACTTCTATCACACCAGCAGCAGAGCACATGACGAAAGACCCCACCACCATGCCGCTTCTGTGCAACAGCGCCGTTGCCCTGCAAGACATCGGGAACTGGCACAGCCTCGCTGACGCTGCTATGGAAGGAGAAGCCGTTATTTAACATCATTATTATTTAATATTATTTAAGCATCAAGTTCCTCTACAGCAAGGAACTGACGAAGAACAGCCGTGATCACACATTTAGTTACCAGCATATATCTCTGCATTTAAACTTCTAGGTGTTTTTAGCCGAGTTTACGTTTCA